TTTTTTTTTTTTTTTTTTTTTTTTTTTTTTACTTATTTCAGTTTATTTATAAAGAGCACTTCCTTATAGTTAGACAAACATTACTTTGGTTATTTTCCTTTGGTTTGGTTATTTTCTTTGGTTATTTTGGTTATTTTCTTTTGGTTATTTTCCAGATTACTGACTAAACATTGTGGCTAACTGCTGAGCCACATGGATTATAGCAACAGACAAATACTGTATTAAGGTTAAAAGATTAAGGCTATAGAATCAGCCCGAGGAGTAAACCCAGCTCTGATACATATGATTTTACTACTTATCTCACAATCTATGATGGGTACTTAAATATTGGTACTTACCTGCCCCCATCCTACCTCTGGAATGGCCGTCCATTGAGAGAGAGAGAAAGAGAGAGAGAGAGAAAAAGAGAGAGAGAGAGAGAGAAAAAGAGAGAGAGAGAGAGGGAAAAAGAGAGAGAGAGAGAGAGTGTGTAAATAGATAGAGGGAGCAGGATGGAAGATATACAGAATATACCAAGGGCCCCCTAACAGTGTGGTCTTGAGCAAGCCACTTTCTGAGGCTTAGTTTCTTTACCTGTAAAATGAAGATTCTCATATCACAGGACTGTGAACATCATCAAATGAAGTGAGAACTATGAAAGTAATTTTAAATTTGAAAATTACTTACATTTTAAAATTATTTTTCCCACTTAAAGATTTTAGAATGATAGAGACGGATAGAAAGAAGTATAGAAACAAAAGCATTATTCTTCCTCCCAGCACATATTGTCATTGGGTACTAACTTGGTTCCATAGTTTTGCTTATGAAAGAATAACTGTTCATATAGATGAATGGGTGGGTGGATGAATGGATGGATAGATGTAGATAAGAAAGGTATTTTTGTCGTCAGATCACCCATTTTACAAAATGTCAAGTCTTTATATTGTTTTTAAGGAAATGGAGTAGAATGTGACCTAGAGAAGTACTACAGCTGTGTTTCTCCTGCACTTGGTACGTTCTTAATTTACTTTTATTTTCAGGATTTATATTAAAGTTGCTCAAAGTAATACAAGACATTAAGTCAAACTATGAATAGCCCAGAAATTAAACAGAATATAGAATATAAGAGAAGATCTTTTTAAAAAGTGTTTTTAAATAGTAGCTAACACAGGCAGTACACACAAACAAACAAAAACTCTCTGATACTAAGACACATCTGAATTTTTAAGTTTTGTTCTTTTTTATAATCAAAATGTCCTAGCTGTTTTTTATTGTTACACAAATAAAACGTGTTTATTGTGAATAGTTCAACTGCTACAGAATAGAAAGGAAATCATGTAAAAATAGTTTTATTACTGAGAATTCTCTGATTGTTTGGAAATAATCCTTCATTCATTCATTTCATTGTATGTACATGGCATATAACATTTTTTCATTAATGGAATTATAATTGTGCATGCCATATTTATTGGGGACAAGTTCTTATTAAACAGCACCCCCTTTTTTTGCTTTCATAACTCTTACTTTAACCTGCAACCAATGATAACGCTCAAGTATATCCTACCATAACTTTCTCCACATATGTACCTCCACTTTAAGTCATTTGATTGTTTTATTAAGATGGAATCCCAGTACGTACCGTTCTATGAAACTTGCTCTTATAACTCATTGTGGAAATATCTCCAGGATAGCAGGAATAGATTTAAAAGTTTCCTTTCAATGGTTCTGAAATATTTCAAGGTATGGCTATAGGTAGAAGGAATCTTTTTTTTTTTTTTTTAATAGATCACAGGCTGAATATGCAAAAGCCATATTACTGCCAATAGACTTGAAATGATGTTGCCAGATTTCTTCTGATTTTTTATCCCTGTTGGAGATTGAAGGGAGAGGTTGGGGAAAAACACCATGAATGTAGTTCAGGAGGGACTGTTGTGGGGTAATGAGGTCAGAAGAGTGTGTGTGTTTGCATGTGTGAGAAAGTATTATGTATATGAGGGTATATGTATGTGAGTGTGTGTGTGTGAGGAGCTCTACCACGAGTGAGGAGCAGAGAGAATGGGCACTGGGAGGTGGTCCAAAGGGTAGTGATAGGGCTTGGTAACCACTTTTTTTTAACATTGAAAGTGAAATGATAAACTTTATAAAACTATCCTACCCATGATGAAATATTTTTCTTCTCTGAATACCCTGTCCTCGTTTTCATTTCAGACCACATTGAACTTAAGGAGTTATGTACAGTGGGAACACATAATTCTAGTTGCCCTGTTTCTTGTGAAGAAACTGAATACCCTGCCACTATTTCTTATTCCTCTTTTCCAAGTCAAAAAGCTTTAAACTATTTTTCCAAGAAGTTGAATCAAAGCCGAAAATACATCAGGTAACCTTACTAGTCTTTTAAATTATTGATAATTAACATAGGTTATTTTTCTTTATTAAGAAGTCTCATAGACTCAGGAAATAAAATTCTGATCAATCAAGGGAGGCAATGCCTTTTGTCACTGAATTAACAATGAAAGCATGGAGTTTTAAAAGCAGATAAAATCATATCTTTCAACTCCTTACTTTAATTGTATGAAAAGGAAAATGATGCTTGTTTGAGTAATTTGCTCATGATCAAACCTTTATTGTCCAAACTAGGGAAAATAATAATATTGACTGATAACAATGGATGCCTTAAAATATGAAAACTCCTTACTTGTACATTATACACTTTGAGTCTTCTAATATCTGTACAAGGTAGATGAAACAAATTAGTATTCTAATTTTACAGAAGAGGAAGCTGAAGGACATAGTATTTTAGGAAATGGTTCTGCGAAGATAGGAGCACAGAAAGAAGTTATACTCAAGAACTTTGACTCTGGTCCCCATGTATTTGCAACCCAGACACATGATTCCAAGTGTCCTGATTAACTGATAATTAAATTCGTTCTCTTTCTGCTACAGTGTACTGCCTCTTAAAAATTACAAATCAAGCTTCATAAAGAACAAATTTTTTTTAATAGGGAAGCAACTTTAGCATTTCTGTTTGTTTCTTTGTATTTTTAGGACTAGGACACGAAGCAGCAATATAGTATATTGGTATCTGTAGTTAAATCTATTAAAGTAAAAATATTAACTAACTTAAGGTTGATTTACATTTTCACAGACATATACATAATTTGGAAAGCATGCTTTAATTCCAATGTTAGCCTTGTACTTATTTTAATAAAATAAAAAAAAAATTCCTATGTAAACACCAAGGTAATAAAATGGTATTTACAGATCATAAAGAAAATGTATTTTCATCAAAACAGGACTAATGGAGTGATTTCGAAGAGCAGATAAAATGATAAACTGCTGTAAAATTTACAATTGTGTTTATTTCTGGCTCCAGCATAGACATCTATTAATATATTTTGCTTTAATGTGGGAAACTTATTTGCTTTTAATATTGTTCCTGACATATTTAAATATGACTCAGAAGAGCACTTCCTGTGTCTTTTAGTGGATAGAAATTTCCTGAGTTTCATAATTATTTAATATGCAGAGAAAGTAGACAAGATTTTGGAGACATATTGGTGAATCAGAAAAGAAAACCATGTAGGAAACAAGAGGATCTTAATGCTGTTTTATTTTTTGTTTGTTTCCAAAACTCAGATATTCTTGAAACGGGAGAGTTTCCTGATTCCCCTTGCAGAATGTGCAACAGGGTGTTGCTGGCCTGTTTAGTAACCCCGCAGCTCAAACCCCTACAGGGAGCATGCAGACTGGCAGGTGCAGAGACCAGGAGGAGTGCTTTGGGCTCCGAAGATCCCATGGTAGTGTCTAGGGGTGGGTGCCTGCAGCCCCAGGGTTACAAAGCTCGTTCAGCTCTGCTGTCTACAGACGGCTTGTTAATAAGCTCAGTGGATCCTCTGCGTTATCGCAAGGGCAGAGGGCCAGTGTGACAGCCTTCTGTATCCCGAGCTCTTGCCCAGTGTCTCAGAAGAATCAGATTACACACGGACTTGAAGGATGACTGTAAGGTTTTAGGTAGTGCTGGAGGTGGCTCTCAGTGAAATGGATGGGGAGCCAGAAGGGGGGATGGAGTGGGATTGTGATCTTTCCTTGGAGTTGAGCTGCCTATGGCCAGACTCTTCTCTGAACATTCCTGGCCAAACACCCCTTGGCGTTCAGATCTCCATCCTCTTCTCTTTCTCTGCCTCATCGTTTTGCCGTCACTTGTTTGGTGATCTGCTGGTCTCTTCTGGAGCTTGGGATTGGGGTTTCATATAGGGGAAGCATAGGGGGTGTGGTGGGCCAAAAGGAAACTTTTTGGGTGCAAAAACAGAAATGTCTGCTGTCATTTAGGGCCAGGGGTATCCAGGCCTGAGGGTGGGCCTTTGCCAGAAAACCGCCCTCTTCTACCCAGTATGTTTCTGTCTCCTGTCCATATAATTATGAATAGTTCTCCAATTAATCCTATCACATAATGTACATGTAAGGACCTTACATGGTTTTAAATAGCGGAGGCCATTACCAGGAAGACTAAGGTGAGCAGCTGAACAAAGGTGGCTGGACTCAGGAGTTGCCCAACTCCTATGTAGAGACAGTTAGAAGTCACACATACAATCAAGAAACTGATGTGTGCAAAGGTACCAGGAATCAGAGAGTGGTAAATCAGAAGACACAAATGCAGTTTGTCAGGATGGCAAATGTGAAATGCTAGCAGCAGCCATTTGAAAAGAAGCAACCCTTAGCTTCATCATGAAGCTGTATGTGTGTCTTCCTGGGACAGAAATAAATGCTACTCCATGGCCAATCCAGGGTCTCAAGTGGCTGCTGCTGGACCCCAAAATGTTGAGGGGCTTAGCTTAACTCTAGCAGGCAGTGTGGAGTTTACCCTTGAAGATACAGTAAATTGTGTCTGAAGTTAGGGCAATTCATTAGTAAAACAAGTAAATTTTTTAAATTGTTCTAACTTAACAAATTTTGAAATAAAAGTTGTGTACAATTGTTTTCTCTATGCCAAATTAGCTCATTCCCCTAATGCAGCACTCATGTTCAAGCATCTGGAAGCTTTTGGTTGTTTTTTTTTGTTTGTTTGTTTTTGAGATGAAGTCTCACTCTTGTCTCCCAGGCTGGAGTGCAATGGTGCGATATCGGCTCACTGCAACCTCCACCTCCTGGGTTCAAGCAATTTTTTTTTTTTTTCAATTTAAATAGAGACAAGGTTTCACCATGTTGATCAGGCTGGTCTTGAACTCCTGACTTTGTGATCCACCCCCCTCGGCCTCCCAAAGTGCTGGGATTACGGGCGTGAACCACTGAGCCCGGCCATCTGGAAGCTTTTTAAAAAACATTTTGTAATACAATAAAAAATTCAGTTTTTATTTTATAATTGTGCCTCCCCTGACCCAAACAAATATTTTTGGACTTAAATTCTGTGGAATTCTGAACAATTTCACTATTGCCATGAGGCACAGATTCAGTGAGACCCGAACGGCTGGACAAAACAACTGCCTAGAGAAGTTGAGCAAATAGCACAATATTTTTGCAGGGGGAGAATTTATCTTTTTCAAATCATAGGCAGATAATGCTTAGAAATGATTATGAATGTTGTTCTTGGGAAATTAAACAGTATTATCAGTGAGCATGCAAATTAGGAGTACAATGGAAGCCAAAGAGATTGGAATATTACTAAAATTTCTGGACTTCCAAGACAACTTTATTGTTTCTGATACTTAGGCAACTGTTTTATCACTTGTAAATATTACTATACTCCCCGATTATCTACTTACACATAGAACATTCTCCTGTTACCCAGGGTTAAACCAATGGAAATTAAGTCAACATATTAATGATGTATTTTGAATTAAGTATACTTGGAATTATTGATTTCAAAAGCTGTAAACAACAAGGAGAGTGATTTATAGCCATGTTCCTTAGATGTATTAAAGACCACTACATAATTCTAGGAAACTCTGTTAATAGCATTCATTCTTAATGGCAATCATTATTGCCATTTAAAAATCATGAGGTGCTTGGTTTCTGCTTCAGCTCATATTACTGTGAGGGTAATATTGATCCATTCATTTATTGCTTTCATCTTTAATTTGCTCCCTTATTTGCCATTTTACATATATCTAAGGAACAACTTATTATTTGTTAGGACTCAGGAGTATTCTAGGCATTAGGGATGCATCAGTGTACAAAAGACAAAAATTCTGCCTTGCTGGGCTTCTGTCCACTGGGATGGAACTGGGTGATCACTATATACAGTCATGTCAGATGGTGCTAAGCCCTGTGGAGGAGCAGCAGAGAAAAGCAGTCTGGGGAAGCTAGGGTCAAGGAGGGTTGTTCTCAGTGTTGTGGATTATGGTCAGGAAAGTCCTTCCTGAGAAGGTGACAGTGGAGCAAAGACCTAGAGTAGTGGCTTTCAAAGCTCCATGGAGGAGTTTTACTTACAGTATATTAAGAATTCTGCATGGGGTGGGCAGTGGAGTTGGGAGAAAAGTGACATGGTTTGACAGGTTGCATGTATATATTTTGGTTACTATGTGCAGAATAGAGGGTGTTTATTTGTTGAAGTGGGGGTGCATTAAAGTAGGAAACAGAAAGGCCAGTTAACAAACTATTGCAAAAATCCAGGTGAGAGGTCATGAAGGCTTGGGCAAAGGCAGTATCATCGAATGGGGTGAGAGGTCATAGGAATCCCGATATATTTTGAAGGTAACACAGAAAAATGGGATTTCCTGATAGATTGGCTATGGAGTGTGAAAATTTACAGTATAAATAGGGAAAATATGAAGCATTTGACTTAGAACATGTTAAAGTTAAAACATCTATTAGGCATCCAAGTAGAAACATAAGAATGAACTGAATATATTATTGAAGTTCAAGGTAGGGGACTGGGCTGTAGATAGAGAAAGTGACGGCTTCCAAGACCATCTAATGAGCTATTAGTGTTTTAAAAGATGTTTAGCCACTCTGGTCACATATAAAAATTTCTAATAGACATTAGGAAAATAGAGCCTTTGCCTAAGTATATTAATAACACATAGTTAATAATTATTATTCATCGAACACTCAAAATACGTCAGGTTCTGTGTCAATTTTGCATATACATAATTTAATTTCACCTCACTACAACGCTATGAGCTCAACTCTAAAATCCTGACTACTCATGAGGAAACCAGGGCTCAAAAAATCTAGTGTGATTTCTTGAAGGTCATGTAAGTAACGAAAGACAGAACCAAGATTTGAATGAAAATTAAACACACATTTAAATGTTTATAAGTACTTCAGTCTATTCAGTAGATATTTACATTTAATATCTTTTTCTAGTTCCTCAGGAATGAGGTGCAGAAAAATTATTGGGGAAAATTATTTTTTCTTAAAAACCACATGACAAAAATGCCTTCTAAATCCTGCTAATCGTGATTAATATTAAAAACAATTATGTGTCCGGTTTAACATTAAGTAGTATTTAAAACAAAAATGAATATTACTTTTATTTGATGGGAATTAAAAGTAATGCTGACAATCTTAAGCTGTATTAACACTACTTTTTTTATCCCTAGGGAGAATCTTGTAAAAATTGAAATTAATTATAGTGACCTAAACTATAAGATAACCCAGCAGCAAAAGGCAGTGAGTGTGTCTGAGTTACTTGGTAAGTGTTATTTAATTGCTTTTTATTAAAAAAAAAAAAAATTCATCAGTTTTTTTTTTCTTTCACATTTAAGGTTTAGCTTGTCAGTGAAGGACAAGAATCAATTGAACTTGTCATTCAGCTGCTATTTAAATCTGACACATTTCCACTCCCTAGAAAACACTACACAAACTTACATGGACTTTTATTTTTAAAAATGCTGGTGGCATTTCATCTCATACTCACATTTACATCAAACTTTACCTTCAGATCCCTCATGAAGTGAGTCTTGTAGAATGTTTCAGCCACCTCATACCTCCAAACAGGGTACCACCCCAGAGTGGCTTAAAAAGAAGAACCTGAGGAAGAAAATTAGGCATTTTGTTTACAACCACTGCCTGCTCACTTGCCTTCTCCACACAAACCTTAATAAATATAATGGCCAATTTCCTAGATCTCACCACATCTTAGAGGAAGCCACGTCCATGTCAGAGACAGAGGGCCTTAGACTCAGGCAAAAGTGAGAGCAGTCAGACATTGAAGCTGAGACCCTGAATATAAACGAAATATGCAAATTCACCAAAGCTCTTGGAGAAGCCTATACTTCATTATCACACTTTACAAAAACAGAATGGTCCTAAGAATGGCCCAGGGCAATGAGATAATGATTAATAATCTAATCTATTTATGAAAGCACTGCTGGAGCAGTCAGATTCAGGGACGGAAAGTAAAATGGTGGTTGTCATGGGCCAAGGAGAGGAAGAATGAGGAGTTAGAGTGTAATGCATGCAGAGTTTCAGTTAGGGAAGATGAAAACATCCTGGAAATAGATGATGATAATGGAATGGCTGCATAACAACGTGAATGTACTTAATGCCACAGTACTGTATGCTTAAAAATGGTTAAAATGGTACATATTATGTCATATCTATTTCACCACAATAAAAAAATCACAAACAGGAAATATAAATTTAAAAATATCAGAAATATTTTAGATAAAGGAAAAATATAAATGCATAAAAAGAAATAAAGTTTTGACACTTGGTGTCACAATTTGCCTGGAATTTAATTTTCTGGAAAACATCATGATCCAGTAGTGCCATCTGGATGACACATTTCTACTCTTCATTTAACACCTAGAAATGAGTTTGTAATTATCTAGACTCTCTAATGAATTTACCTAAATTTTATATCCTCCAAAGTCTTTGAGTTATATGTTTGGAATCAGATTTTATGTTTGCTTTTCTTCTCTGCTTTTCATGATGATTTGTGTGAGTATCACTTTGATATCGTCAATTGCTATTACCTTATTCATATCCAATGTTAAAATAATACTATTAACCTATCTTCACATCAGTTATGATTATGTTTTGCTTCAACTAATTTAACTTCTAATAATGTTCAATTTGCTTTTTATGAAAAATAATGACATTTAATTTTTTAAAATTGCTTTTATTACAGCAGATCTTGGTGGTCAGCTGGGTCTATTTTGTGGGGCCAGTCTGATCACAATCATAGAAATTATTGAATACATAGTCACCAGTTTCTACTGGATATGCATTTTCTTTTTGCTGAAGATACCTGACATGACCCAGTGGACTCCTCCACCTCAGCATCTGGGAAATAAAAATAGGATAGAGGAGTGCTAATATTCACTTAGGCTAAAATAATTTTCTTTTCTCTTCATGATACCTTCAGATTTATCATGACTAATTCATTGTTATGTCACTTTGCTATAGTTTTGAGAGTTCAATAAAAGCCATTAATGATATATATCTTTTTATAAATATTTCTGCCTATTTGTCTCTGTATGTATGTACATTTATACATATATTAGAAATAAAGAAATAGGCACTATCTTTTTCACCTTTGTGTTCCCTGCACCTAGAACAGTCAGGATTATGTAACAGACATCTTATATACTTTTTAAAATGAATGAATATTAGTGTAGTGAAAAAAAGACATTCTTTATGACTGACTATGTAAACTAGACCCAATAAATAAATTGTATGTGAAAAGACAAAATATTTATTTATTCAAGAAATAATATGTATAATTTATGCTTTATAAAGTTTTAAAGAATTTTTATTTTCACTAAGATTCAACATACTTTTTTTTTCCCTCTTTCATCTGGTGTTTTCTATTGTAAATGTCTTTTGGAGAGACAGAAATTTATGTTTCCCATGCAGGTGGTACTTAATATAAATCTAATTGAAAATAAATTAAATCTGTATCATGTTGAAAGTACATGGCATTTTCTCATTTTTTCCCCAAGTACTTCTATTTACATATTTAGTCCAGAGAGGAAATTTAAGAGTTTCAGTGTTTTCCCTTTCCCTCGGGTAATAGACCTACTTTTGGTCTCTCAGAATATTCAATTAACGGTGACTTTTAGAGGACTTCTCACATATATTTAAGAGATAATGATCAAGTCAAAAAAACAAAAAACAAAAAAATAATAAGTCAAAGAATTCTATCTCTTAATTTATTCTTGGTGCTATTGCAATTTCTTCCAGATACAAGAGAATAACTTCTAAAAGTCTTAATATTGTTTTCCAACTTAATGAAAAGCAAGTGCTAGTTCCATGGAAATGAGGCCAGTGCAATTTGATGGTAGCAACATTAAGAATGTGAATATCTCATGACTCAGAAATCCCAATCTTGGGTAAATACTCTGGAGAAATTCTCCCACAGATGTGGCGTTCAGCTTCTGACTTTGTTACAATTCCTCTACTTACCCATTTTTTTTTTTTTTTTTTTTTTTTTTGAGTTGGAGTCTTGCTCTTTTGCCTGGGATAAAGTGTAGTGGTGTGATCTCAGCCATTGCAACCTATGCTGCAACCTCTGCCTCTTGGTTCAAGCAATTCTCCTACCTCAGTCTCTCAAACAGCTGGGATTACAGACACCCAACACCACACCTGGCTAATTTTTGTATTTTTAGTAGAAATGTGGTTTTGCCGTGTTGGCCAGGCTGGTCTCAAACTCCTGACCTCAAGTGATTCACCCACCTCATCCACCCAGTTTCATAGCTGGAATTACAGGTATGAGCCTTTGTGCCTGGCCTACTTACCCAAATATTGATTCTAGTTATAGCCATATACAATCCTTTGAATGTAAGAACTTTTTTCTTATCTGTAGTGGTGGAGATCATGAAAATTATGCATGGATCTTTTTTTTTTCCAGATCATTAGTTATCATTAGTGTTAGTGTATTTTGTGTGTGGCCCGAGACAATTCTTTCAATGTCGTCCAGGGGAAGCCCAAAGGTTGGACACCCCTTAATAAGCTAAACTAGAAGATACTATTCTTTCCCCTTTTATTCAATATATTGAAAAATCTTAAAACAATTTGTATTTTCAGTGATTCATAAAAGGACTCCACAAATTTCATTGCATCTAACATGAAGTGGGTCAAGTAGCAGAGTATAATAGAGAAAACTCTCCTATTTTTTTTGAACTTGAGGAAGCCTATATTATAAGAAACATTAAGTATCACACATGGCTCACTAATTTATCTTCCAATATTCCTGTGTTAAGAAGACAACAAATACAAGTACATTTGACCCTTTAACAATACAATGATTAGGAGCACCAAGCCCCTGTGCAGTGGAAAGTCCACATATCATTATAGACTCACCCAAAACTTAACTACTAATAGCCTACTGTTGACCGGAAGCCTTACCAATAACACCAACAGTCAATTAACACATACTTCGTATGTTATATGTATTATACACTGTGTTCTTACAATAAAGTGAGCTGGAGAAAAAAAAAAACGTTATTAAGAAAATCATGAAGAAAACACATTTACTATTCATTAAATGGACGTGGATCATTATGAAGCTCTCCATCCTGTCTTCTTCACATTGAGTAGGCTGAGGAGGAGGAGACAGGGCAGGGATTGGTCTTGCCATCTCAGGGGTGGCAGAGGTGAAAGAAAATTCATGTATAAGTGGAGCAGTGAAGTTCAAACCTACGTTGTTCAAGGGGCATCTATATTTTGTTTGAAAGAGATAATATGGGGTTGATGTCATGGAAGAGCTAACTAGCTGAGAATGGAGATTATTAAAATTTAAGCCTCCTTAAAGGTTTGGAAAAACAGATTGTCGATCAGTTTGGTTCCCACCAACTGCATTTTATTGATAAGGTGACATGCCACTGCTATTAGTGTGTACCAACATCAGGTAAGAAGCTTAACATTAAGTATCTTAGTATATCCCCTACCATCCTCAAACTGGAATCAAAACATCTTTACTAAAATATGGATGTGCTAGAGACATGAGGAGCTGAGCTGACTCTTAAGTAAATACCTTATCTGAATATGAGGGACAATGAAGGAGGTGTAACTGGTTTCTTCTTGGATGTTGTGGGTTCTTGGCCTCCAACCTCTTAAAGAATAAGCCGTGGGGCCGCTTCAGCTACACCGTATGCTCGCAAAGTAAAATATCAGACCCAAAAAACTGTTGCAGAAAGGTGATTTTGTTTATGTAGAGAAAAGAGAAGGAAAGAAGAAGAAGAGAAAGGCTTCTAGTAAGAACGTGGAAGGGAATTCCAGAGGGGAAATCCCAGGATTCCAGAAAGTTGGAAATCCTGTGCAGGTGAAGGAGCATGGACTTTTATTCTGGGAGAAACCCCCAACTTCTCCAAGACCCTGGGCCAATGAAAGGAGTTCCTTAGAACTTCCGCTGGAGTGATTGACTTTTAGTTTCTTCCGGTGCCTGCGAAATTCAAACATAAACAGTTGAATCTCCTGGATGGAGAGAGACGGGAGGGGGCCATGGTGCCGGGAAGTTCTTGCCCTTAAAACTATGCCCCTCATGGACCCGGAAAGAGAACACATTCCCTCAGAGGAATACCTTTGAAAAGGTTTCTGGGATATGGGATGAAGATGAAGATCTGAGGATAATCTCTGACTTTCTCACCTCAAAAACATCCTTCTTGGCCGCGTGCGGTGGCTCACACCTGTAATCCCAGCACTTTGGGAGGCTGAGGCGGGTGGATCACCTGAGATCAGGAGTTCAAGACCATCCTGACCAATATGGAGAAACCCCGTCTCTACTAAAAATATAAAATTAGCTGGACATGGTAGTGGGCACCTGTAGTCTCAGCTACTTGGGAGGCTGAGTAAGGAGAATCACTTAAACCTGGGAGGCGGAAGTTGCAGTGAGCCGAGATTCCACCATTGCACTTCAGCCTGAGCAACAAGAGCAAAACTCTGTCTTAAAAAAAAAAAAAAAAAAAAAATTCTTTTTATTTTACTGCACCACGTTGTACCAGATCTGGGATCACTGTGTGTCCTGCATCCTGGGAAGAATCACGATGCAAACATTATGCCAATTCTTCAGAAAGTATAAATATTCCTAAGGGAACAGATAGAGCCAGTGAGGACTCCACATCATGTGGTTAACGGAGGACCGGCTGGAAATGCTGGCCCGCCACCTCTGGTAAATAGTCCTATAATCTTCACCCCTCCAACTGTACTCCTTCTCGAAAATGGACAAAGGTGATGTTCAAGGACAGCTGTTTCTGCTACTTGCCTGTAGATGATAGAATGACTGAACCAGAAAAGTCTCACCTGAAGAGGACAAGTCTGAGATAAGACAGGTGAAAATGGAAAGGGAGAAACTGTGAGAAATGGGAAGAGAGCACATAAATGACAAATGGGAAAGGATGCAATTTTTCTTTTCCTGAGAGAACGCCTCAGAGCAGGATAATTAAGACATTTAATTCTCTCAAGTTGGGGTATAGGTCAGGATCCATGCTGAGACAAACCCTGGATTTGCTTTCCCTGGAAGTGGAGAAGTAACCTGAAGGCAAACTCTGAAGTTAACCAAACAACTCTGACTATTTGAAGAAACTATATCAATCAGTATCCCTTGATGACCCGCCTAAAAGAAAAGCAGATTGGAATCATCATTTGGGTTTTTTCCTCAGGTTATGTTGATCATATTCATATGTCTGTATAGCCACTTATCACTGGTGATTCATCCACAGAATATTCATAAAGAACCCAGGGAACCTGACATTACTGGAAGCCGCCTGAAAAGATAATGTAGAGATACAAGGGACAATAGATATTTCTACACTAATGGAGCATTCACTTCCCAGCATCCTGGGAAAGAGCATGTATCCTCAGCCAGGAAGGATTTAATAATATCTTGATTGCAATAAAAGAGCAGCAACACAAAAATAAATGAACTATCAAGCCATGAAAAGATGTGAAAGATCCTTAAAGGCATATTGCTATGTGAAAGATGCCAATCTGAAAAGGCTACATACCATATAATTCCAACGATATAGCTTTCCAGGGAGGACAAAACTATGGAACCATAAAGAATTTTGAAATATCAGTGATTGACAGGAGCTTGAGGGAAGGGGAGAAAAATGAATAGATGAAGCATGAAGGATTTTTAGGGCAGTGAAACTAGTCTGTGTGATAGTTTGATGTTAGATACATGTCATTATGCATTTGTCAAAATCCATAGAGTGTACAAGCAAAGAGTGAATCCTAATGTAAACTATGGCTTTTAGTTAGTAATAAGGTATCAATATTGGCTCATTGATTGCAGCAAAAGTGCCACATTAATACAAGATGTTAATAATAGAGGAAACTGTCGGATGGGGTTGTTGAGGGGGTTTAGGGAGCTTTCTACTTTTCACTCTTTTTTTTTTTTTTCGTAAACTTAAATCTTCTTTTATAAGTGTATTTAGGCTGGGCGCTGTGGCTCATGCCTACAATCCCAACACTTTGGGAGGCCGAGGTGGGTGGATCACCTGAGGTCAGGAGTTCGAGACCATTCTCGCCACCAGGGTGAAAACCTATGTCTACTAAAAATACAAAAAAATTAGCTGGAAGTGGTGTAGCTGCCTGTAATTCCAGCTACTCGGGAGGGTGAAGCAGGAGAATTGCTTGAACCTGGGAGACAGAAGTTGCAGTGAGCCGGGATCGCACCACTGCCCTCCATCTTGGGCAAGAGAGTGAGACTCCAACTTAAAAATGAAAAGAAAAAAAAGTGGGGAGGGAGTGGTTCAAGATAATAGAGACTCAGGTTAGAGGAGTACATTTGTAGGAATACTACATACAGACTAAACCAATGTCAGTGATTCGCTGGTAAGAACATTCATGTAACATTGATATTTCCTGGTCAGAGTGTTGAGAATGAACAAGGAATTTTTCCCATTGTAC